AAAATTAGCTTGGATGCCTCTGAAATTAGGAGAGCTCCTGCAGCTATAGCTCGTAAGGCATGCAGGCCATCCCTTTGCTACAATATCTATTTTATGTCTTAGGCACTCTACAGGCTGTTGAGCAGATAATCAGGTTTCCAGGTTAAAATATGGGTATCTGTCTTTTGAGTTTCTTTTAGAAGTGGATAGGTCATGCAACCTCACCATATCCTGCTATCCAAAGGTGACAAAAGCCTTAATCCCTAGGAATCCCCTTAGCTCTCTTACACAGTGAAAGTATTAGGAGGAAAGTATTGGTTTAATTCTTTCTTCCCCTAGTCTTCGGATTCCCTTAGATATGATAAGGCCTCAATATTTTACCTCAAGGCTACAAAGTTCTGCTTTAGATCTAGAAACCTTATAACCCTTGTCTGCTAGAAAATTTAGCAGAGCACTGGTAGGTTGGCTAAAGAGTTTTTCTGAGGGGGTACATACCAATATATCATCTAGGTATTGTAAGACTGTGACCTGGGGAAGCACAGAAATGCCAGGTCGTGGGAAAGTACTTGTCCAAAAAGGTGAGGACTGTCTCTGAATCCTTGAGGAAGTCCAACTTGTTCTTTTTCTGTTCAGCAATCTGTGTGGGTCAGTTATACTCATTCACATGAAAGAGGTCATTTGAATCGGAGACTTTTAAGAGTCTCAGCCTATTCTTGGTATGTGATTTTGAATTAGGGAATTTGGTGAGTGAAAAAATTAATTATCTGAAGTAGAAAGGTGAAGCAAACTAAAATGATCCAAAGGTTTGAATAGCAACTTTACCAGAGATGTTCAAAGGGCAGTGGCAGGGCCAGGGATTAGGCTCAGTGGTGCCGCTGCTTGCCTCACAAGCACAAGGACCTGAGTTCGATCCCTGGTACCAAAAAAAAAAAAAGGGGGTGGGGCAGTGACCACATTATTAGTCATGGGGAAATCAAAATCAAAACCACAGATAAAATTTCATATGCATTGGACTAACTATGATTAAAAATATTGACAATGCCAGATGTTAATGAGGATGTGTAATAACTAACTGGAGGTCTTTTTTTGTTTGTTTCTTTCTTTTTTGGTACTGGGGATGGAACTTAGGGCCTTGTGCTTGCAAGGCAGGAGGCAGAACCACTGAGCTAAATTCCTGGCCCTAGGTCTTGTTTTTTATTGGTGTGAATATATAAAGGTCACAATGGGGAACCCTTTTTTTTTGTACCAGGGATCAAACTTGGGACCTTGCACTTGCAAGGCAGGTGGCGGCACTGAGCCTAAATCCCTGGTGCACAATGGAAAACTCTTAAGCATAATTTATCTACCAGCAGTCCTATTCCTAGGTATTTACCCCAAATAAATGAAAACCTATGTTCACAAACATTTTGTATGAGAATACCTTTTAGCAGCTTTATTCATGATAGTCAAAACTCAAGACCTCAGAAATTAATTACCAGGTGAATAAAGAATTTAGGTATGTTCATACAATGGAATAAACTCATTTGAAAAAGGGAAAAAACTACTGAATTGTACAGTATGAGTAACTCTTAGAAATTATATCAAGAGAAGAAAGATAAATGAAGCTCCAAAGCAGGTGAAACAAATCTGTTGTGATAGAAAGCAGAAAGTGGTTGCCTCCAGCAGAACTGCAGTCAACTGAAAAGGGGCACAGGAAACTTCTGTATTGGTGGATATGTTTTATATCTTGTATTGAGTGTGGATCGCAAGGATGTATACAGTAGCAAGACTCATTAAAATGAACACACAGGGTGTGAGCATCTTTTTGTGTGTCAATTGTACCCCAGTTTTAAGTCCTTAAGGAAGTTGAATAGCATGAAATGTAAAACTTAAATCATTCCTTTAGAAGAGGAGAGGGGCATGCAAAACCCAGCCTGAGGCGGTGAGATTGAAGAGCCAAGGAAGCTCATTTAGAAGAAAAGCCAGGGGGTGGGCAAGTAGCATATACTAGGGATTTAAACTCACTTAGTTTTTGTAAACATTAATGATGATTTCTGCTGGTTTCTATGATACATAAATTATATGTTATCTCTAAGGAAAAGCATGGTTCTACTCGTAGATCTATTTTACTAGTTATTTACAGTTTACATTTCATCTTATGTTTTACTTTCCAATCACTCAGGTATTTCCCTGAATATATTTAGATTCTTAGTGATTTCAGGAATAAAATGTACTTTTGAAGTGCTTATAGTCTTAGAAACGTCTGGAGCTTTTTATTATACCTGTAGTATGGGGGTTTCTGTTGATTTAGCCTATATATGAATAAAGTAATCAGTCCATTTTTAATTTTTTACTTTATTTACTCTTAAAAAGTATGTTTATTTAAATTGAAGATTTAAAGAGGGGACTGTCAGAAATGGAGAGGTGCTAATTGTTATGCTCATAGCCAACGGTTTGTCCATCTTCTTTTTTAAATTAATTGGTACAATTTAGATACACATAAGGATCACACTCATCATAGGGAATTTGTACCTGTACATGGTATATCTTGATTCCTCTTTGTTCCCCATTCCCCTCCCCTCCTTTTAATTCTTCCCTTCCTTATTTATAAAGCTTTGTTTCCATTTTATCCTTTTCTCATTTTTTTCTTTGCCCTTCTTTTCTTCCCCTTCCTACCTCCCCAGTTCCCCTTTCCTTTTGAACAGTAGCCTCGTATTTCACAGTATCTATTACACATTTTGGTCCTTATTTACCCTTTCAGTTTCTCACACCAGAAAGACACTGTGATATCTATACGTGTGTCTGATTTATTGCACTTAAGAGTATGGTCTCATGGTGTATTTATTTAGCTAGAAATGTCTCAAGTTTATCCTTCCTGTGGCTGAGTAGTACTCCATTGTATAAAAACCCACATATATCTTAATCCATTCAGTAGTTGATGGGCATTTGGGCTGTTAACAAGATTTAGCTATTATAACTTGCTGCTATAAACATAGGTGCTCATATATTGCTGTGGTATGATGCTTTTATTTCTTCTGGGAAGATAACCCAGAAGGGGAATAGCTAACGTCAGATGTCTAGCTTCTTTTTGAAGTCTTCCTGAAGGTTTTTTTCTATATCACCTTTTATGAATAGGTTGCATTACTTCTTTTTTCTTTTTTTGGTACTGGGGATTGAACTCAGGACCTTGTGCTTGTGAGGCAGGCAGCAGAACCACTGAGCTAAATCCCTGGCCCTCTCCTTTACTTCTTGAATGGATGTAAACTCAAAACAAAAGTGATCGCTCTCTGAAAACTGTATCTTCTTGTCTTAAGATACCTGCTCCTGTGAATTGTATTGGAAATGAAAACGTTGGCAAAATTTTAAGGGGCCAGGTATATCACAGGTACATGGCTCTTGATGACAGGTTAACTAGCTAGCAAAGCTACCACTTAATTCCTACTGTGATTTTGTAAAAGATGACCATGTTTGTGTGGTAAAGATAGCTGCAGTTGTGTTTGTCACCTGATGCAGTGTTCACAAACAAAAACAAAGTTTTGCCAAACACTTCTGTTTGGGAACCAAATTGTTCGCAAACAAAAAGCGTTTGTGAATTTAGGTACTACTGTATTTATATAACATCTTCTGAAGGGAAGAAGTCTGAATTGTTTTACGGTACAGTCATTACTACATAGGAACCATTAATATTTCAGTTTTATATTCATTCTTTAACCCTTAGGCAGTGGATTTTTTAAAAGAAGATAAGCTTTCTGTGATACATGGGGTTATCGTACATTGGGTGTTGGAAAAGCAAATAGTATCAAAGTAATTTCCCATCTAATCTCAAAACACTGACAGTATTTTACTGGCAACTTTGTTTTTCTAAAACAAACTGTGTTAAAATTAACAAAAATTAAAAACGTTATAAAATTATTCTAATAGCATGTTAACAGTGCTAGAAATTGAACCTATATTTAACTGATTTTTATTTTTTCCATTTTTTTAACTAGGTCCTTTCTGATGTTGCTTGAGCTTATTCTCCTGCAGTTGATCTCATTCCTGTTGGCTAAACATAAGTTCCATGACAACACTAAGTTAAAGCGCGTGTGTTATAGGCCGCAGTTATGATACCAGGACAGTATTGTAGAAAAAGTAACTCTCTACCTGTACATTAAATGATCCAATTTCTCTCTTTCTGTTCCTAGAAACACTGTAACTTTTATAAATACCCATTATACAGTTATTGTCATACCTTTGACTAAAGAACATAGTTGAGTTTTTGGAAAGTACAGGATTTACCAATTTGGTCTTAATTCATACACATAATTATTACAGTTATGAAACAGGAAATTATTGGTGCATATGATGAATGTATACTATGGAAGAATATTTCAAATATAATTTTTTAATAATTTGGTTTAATTTTTGGATATTTTTTCTATACTCTTAAGTTGATAATGTTTTTTTAAAGTTTATTTTATAAAGATGATTTATTTTACTGTTTTGTGGTACCAGTAGGACTCTTAACATTAAATTGGTATGTGGAATTTTATAAATGTTTCTATTAGCATTTAGATAATGAACTATTACAAGTTAGTTTATGCCAAATGTTTCTAAAGTGTAGGGGTAATATTTATGCTGGTTTGATGCATAGTACAGTTTTTTAAGAAAGCAACTATGAATTGTTGTTTTTTTAAATCTTTTCTTCATGAACTACCCCTTAAGGCTAGAACCAAATTTGAAAGAGGCTTCTTTGTGGAGCAAGACAAATCAGAGATTTTCTATGTTAAAAAAAAAAAACCAAGCTCCAAGAATGCATTCTATTAAGATCTCTGAAGCATTTTGTCAGTGAAGGAAATATTAAATACTGACTTGGTAAATATATTAGGATTTGCATTGCAGAGACTTGGAAGTAATCTTTACCACTGGTACAATATCATCAGGATTTTTGAATGTTAGAACATTATGTTAAAATGTGAATATAGTTTTAATGTTTTGTCTCACTGAATTAAATTTGTGTCCATAAAGATGTGCAGTGTAATTGTTCATGTATTTATTTACAGACTGCAGTTTCCGTCGCAGCTCAATAAATAGTCTTTCCCCTGTTAGCGCTACCCTCTCTTCTGGGATTCCCAGCGTGCTTCCTTATACTTCAAGGCCTTATTCTTATCCAAGCTGCCCCTTGTCACCAACAGTATCACTTGTTAATGGCAGCCGTGTTGGACAACGACTATATATCTCCAATCAGGCCTCATTCTTCTGAAGACAACTTATAAACATTAGTATGAAAATTACTTTGTGTAAAGCATGCAAAGTAAAATACTGTTTTATTTTAGAATCGGGTTTGCACATTTGGCTTTAAAAATAATATATTCCAACATACTAAACACCAGAAGTTATTCAGAATATCAGAGTCGTAGAATTTATAAAAATGCAATGTTTGAAAAGTTATTCAGTGGTTTTCAAACTGCTATTCTTTTTAAACTTAACGGAATTTTCTTCCTGAGTGGGCAATAGATCCCCGTAGTTTATTTTTTGTGTGACTGCTTTGCAGAATTTTCACATATTAAGCCACTTGAAAACAATAATTATATTAAATTTGATAACCAAGGATCACTATCTGTATTGGAGATTGGAACAATTATATATTAGGTAGAAAGAAATGATGAGACAAAAAGATTAAGATGCTAACTTTATGCAGTACTAAAGACAACACAGTCTACCATTGTGGTCCTTGAAAATAGATTTAAGTATTTTAGTTAATTATTTGTTACAGAAATAAATTCTAATTTTGCTGTTACATATTTAAGGATTTTATAGTTATGCTTCATTTTTTTTGATATTCATTGTATTTGAATAAGAAGTGTTCCAGTTTTTAATGTTGAAATCGTGTTGTTTAATTTTTGTACTTGAATTTGAACCTTTTGACATTAAATATGTGATGCTTCTAATATGTGTGTTTTATTTTTATTAGAATGCGCATGCATACACAGCTGTCACAAGCACTGACTTTGAGAACATTTTTTCTCATTAAGTTTATGGTCGTGGTGCATAGATTCATTATCTTCATGAGAAATGAAGCTTGGGATACTGTAGACTGAAAAAAATTTAAATTTAGGTACATTTAAGGTATACAATATAAGGACATTCATCATTGAAAATTTGCATCTTTACATAATCCATCTAGGTTTTAATTTTTTCCCCATTCCCCTACCCTCCCTTCAACCCCTCCAGGTCTCCCTATGAAAATTGTTAATTTTGTAAAACTAGCATCATTTTCAGGGGCCAATAGAAATAGTTTATTGATAGACCCACTAATGGTTTGCCCTTATGAATAAGTAATGAACTCATGTCATTTTGACTGTTCGTTAGTACTTTACATGAACAATGATGGTTTTCTTAATTGAGAGCAGACAAATCAGATGTCAAATGTTACTCTTGTTGGCTCCTTGATCAACTCCTTGTACAGCTTGTATTTAGGATTTGGCTACAAAGATATGAAACATTTGCAGATATGTTTCTTACCAACTTGAGTTTCAAGCACAAGTTGTATGAAGAGTAAGTTGATCTGTTTTCTTTCATCTAAAATTTCATTCCATATAAATTACATGTATTACTGTTTTTGCTGCCCTGGATTTTTTAACTTAAATGAGAATGGACATGATACCTAATTAGCATTTTTCCCCTGTCACAACTGTGTGACTTGTGTAGATTCTGCCCACTCCCTTTGTGTTTTTGAGACAAGTCTTGTGTAGCTCTGGCTGGCCTTGAACTCGCTGTTTAGCCCGAGCTGTTCTCAGAGACGCCATCCTCAAGTCTCTCAAGGCCTGGGGTTCCACATGTGCACCACCTTGCCCAGCTTAGATTCTGCAGATTAGATTTAATCGCTCTGTATTTGCCCTATATATGGTGCATAGGTGCACCTCACTCACTGAGTAGATATACAGTGTTTGTTTTGGTGCTGTGCTTTTTTTTTACTCTTGGAACATCCAAGTGACTGAAGCCAAGCTAGAGGGATTCTCATAGAAAGGTACTCATTGGCCCAAATCAGAGTAATTTGAAATCTCCACATGGCTTTTCAACTTTGGAAAGAAAATTTCAAAACACTTGAAAGTGGAGAGTTTAGCAACCACACAAACTATGTGAGATCTATGATAACAGTGGGAAATGTGTAAGTTTTGCTTTCAAATTTGATTACTACTTCTGCCAAGTAGCAGCTTTCTACACTTGGACACTTTAATGCGAGTCATACTGTTCACTTCTGTAAAATGGTGATACATTTCTTAGATGTAATATTGAAATGACATGGCAAGTACAGTGGAAGGTACTCACATGGTAGCTGTTATATATCTGTATGAAGTGTATAATGCTCATTGCTGTGCAGTTTTCATTTCAGTCAAATACAGAAATGTATATGTGGAACTTCCTTTCTGTGATGATGTGGTTGAGCACTTAGTCTTGTTCATATTGCATAGCTTATTTGACTTGTGAGTATAATTATTTACCATCTTAATTTTTATAGGTTATATAAAGTCGCTGCTCCAACTGAGTGCTTCCCTAGTCGATCACAAACACTATTGAGAAATATAAACAGTGATGCAGCTCTTTGTGCAGAAAACAGTTCTAAAGACAGCTTTTGTTGAATTTTGTGTGTACCTTTTTTTTTTTCATGAAGTTTATCGGTACATTTTAGGTATACAGTACAGTTATATTCATCACTGGGATCTTGTACCTTTACATGATGTATCTTGGTTCTTATTTTTTCCCTGTTCCCTTGCCCTCCCTTCACCCCTCCACCTTTCCCTATTTACAATGACTTTGTTTCCATTTTTTCCTTTTCCCTTCTTTCCTTTCCCCTACCCTTCCCACTTACTACTCCTTTAGCCCTTTTCTTCCTGTTTCACATGATCAGTTATACAATTTGAACCTTATTTACACTTTTAGTTTTTCACACCAGAGAAACGATTCAGTATTTACACGTGTGTCCTGTTTATTTCACATTGAGTGTGGCCTCAGTGTGCATCCATTTAGCTGTACGTCTCTAGTTTCTCATTCCTTATGGCTGCGTATTACTCTATTTTATAGAAAAACCACATGTTCTCTGGTGTGAAAAATTATAATAGTACGTAAGATCCTAATGAGATTACTGACAATGTGAAATAGGAAGAAAAGGGCTAAAGGTGTAGGGAAAGTGGAAAGGGTAGGGGCAAGGTAATAAGGGAAAAGAAAAAATGTGAGAAAATGAAAAAATGGAAATAAAGTGTTTGTAAATGGGGAGGGGAGGAGGGGGTGAAGGGAGGACAGGGACAAGGGGAAAAAATGAGAACCAAGACCTGTCCTGTAAAGGTGCAAGATCCCAGTAATGACTGTAACTGTACTGTAGACGTAAAATGTACCAATAAACTCAATCAAAAAAAAAAAAAAAAAGAAAAACCACATCTTTATCCAGTCTGCAGTTGATAGGCACTTGGGCTGTTTCCAAGTTTTAGCTATTACAAGCTGTGTGTGCACCTTTTTTCAAAGAACTATGACAGATGTGGGACTGTGGCCTACTACGAAGCCATGCTCTTCTTTATGTAAAAACTCTAGTAGAAAAGACAAGAAAGTTATGCAAAAAGCTTAATAACCTTATCTATCTCTAGCTCCTTTTTCTTTTTTTTAAAGTCTTATTAGGCTGGCCTTGAGCTTTCAGTAATCCGTCTGCCTCAGACTCCTGAGTGTTGGGACTATTGGGATGTGCCACCATGCCTGGCCTCTACTTTTGTTTTATTTTGTTTTTTTCCCTGGTACCGGGAACTGAATTCAGGACCTTGCACTTGTGAGGCAGGTGAAGTACCACTGAGCTAAATCTCTAGCCCTCTAGTTTTTTATATGAAGAGTAGGTAAGACTTCTGCAGCAATGACTGAACATCTAGAAGCCATAATAGAAAAGGTTGATAAATCCAATTTTATAAAAGCCTGCATGACAAAAAGTATTACAGATCATGTGAAATGACAAATGATGAACTGGAACAATATTTGCCTATTATTTCACAAAGGGCTAATGTTTAGTTTCTAGATACTAATAGCCAATAACTCAATAGAAAAATGAATAAAATAGGTGAATAAGTGACATATATCCTTAAACATTTTTAAAAGGTGCTTTATCTTGCTAATAATAGATATGCAAGTTAAAAGTTCAGACTGAGGGAAATTCAGAAGTTCAGTAAACTTTAGATCTAGAGCCTTAAATGACTATTCTCATACATTGTCCATGGAATTTTAAATTAGCTTAGCTCACAGAACAGCTTGGCAGCTTTTGTTCAATATCTGTGACAGGTACAGGCCAGGGTTTAGCTCAGTGGTGCTGCTGCCACCTGCCTCACAAGCGCAAGGACCCACGTTTGATCCCAGGTACTGGTGTGTGGGGGGGCAAGCAAAATCACAGGTACATCTTTTGATTAGCACTTTGTGTGTGTGTGTGTGTGTAATGACATAAAGACCATTGAGACTGCTTAAATAGTAAATTTATTGGTACATACTGAGAAGCTGTACAAGAAAAAGATGAAGACCTTTATTCCCTCTTTTATCCCAAAAGACAATGTTAAAAATGAGTAAGTTTCAGGAGTGACTGTATTAAAAAACGCTGAATGCTATTTTTGGGTAAAGAAGGAATGAACACACAATGCTTATATTTGCATATCAAGCAAAGAATACAAAAGAACTACAGTGGTACTTCAGTTCACAAATTTAATTCTTTCCATGTTTCTGGTCACAAAATTGGATGAGAACCAATCAAATTTTCCCATAAGATCAACACTGAAACTGACCATTGACTTTGATTCAGTTCTTGTCAGTTCAGTTTGCAACCAGAGTCATGGAAAGAATTATGTGAACCGAGATACCACTGTAGTAGATGAGACCACTCTATAGAAATATCTTTTACATCTAGACACTGCAGTGGTTTTAAATAAAGACACAATTCTCTGAAACAAAACGGGACATCTTTTATTGAAATTTGAACATAAACATGTTAGCAAAAGCTGCAGTGACGTAGTTGAGTGGTCAGAAGTCAGTGGGTTGTAAGTAGAAATGTAGGGCAAGCAAAAAGCTCTCCAGGAGGCAAGCAGCTCTGCTAGCCTTATGCCTATCACTGCTTTTAATTCAGGGCGTTCTGTGGACTTGAAATGCCTGTCACTAAATACTGCATTTACGGGTATGAAGAACGTTAACCTCTGATAGGAAAATCACATTGAAGATCCGTAGGATTTGGAGCAAAGTCATATTCTCTTGGGCAAACAATAGTTTTCCTTTTGAGAACCAGTTCTTAGCTAGTGGCTAGGCCTCATATAGACTATGGGATACCAGTTAAATTGAGTGGCCAATCACAAATTGGGTTTTCATCAGCAAATTCATAAACTTGAGCGTGTCTAGCATACTATCAAATGTGCAGTGATGATCCAGAGATGGCTTGTCATTCTGCTCTTACTCCTATTAGTGTCATGGAAGGTTCCAAAGATCAGATGACTAAGGAGAAAAATCCAGAATCTAGTATCCTAAGGGTAACGATAGTCACCAAAATCCAATTCTGTTTACACAGCCTGTAGAAACTACAGAGCTAATACAAAAGCTGATCCATACCTTCAGTATAAAAAGGACACTACGATTTTTATGTTCTATACCAGTATGTATATACATACACCTTGCATTCTAGTGCCAGTGTTTTTCTG